TTTTTTTTTTTTTTTTTGTGAATTTGTTTTTTATTTTTTATGGTAATTTTTGCAGTTATTGGAGGTGAGGATTGGAATAGTTTTGGGGGTTGATTGTTCAGGTGGTCAAAAGGGTTTGAGTTGGTATGGTTTATATCAGGTTTTTCAGGTTTATTGATTAATTTTTGTTTTGTTGTTTTAAAAAGTTTATTTGTTTTTTTATGGAATATTATATTAGTATTAAAAATATTGTTAATGGAAATATAAAGTTAAGTAATATTTTGCAATGACAATAAATATTGAATAAGTTTTCTTGATTGTATTACTATTCATTATAATAAGATTCGTAAACTCATGAAGCACCATTAATGTTTCAAATAATAATTAAATTAAGTTAACATAATTTTCTATAAGTTAAATGAAAATATATAAAATTAAGGATGCTCAATGATAGACAGACAGCACTTATTTTCTGGCTCCAATAATTTATCTCTTCCACACCTTCTCAGGAATACATTTCCACCTTCTTGTTAGTACTTTGTTTAAGATGTAAATTGGTAATGAAAGAAATATCAAAATAAAAGTCACTAATAATAGACAGGATGTTAAATCACTACATTTAAATTTAAAATAAATTACCTAAGGACCGTTGAAGCTGTCAATTTCAACATCATTGAGCTCATATTTAAACATAAACATATTTTAAGCATCTAATTCTTGTTGATTAAGGTATAAAAGAAAAATGCTTTTTCCAGAACAATTATTATGTCAGATAAGATAAAGAGTTGAAGTGAAACACTAAATTCTGAACTCCATTTATAGGAGATGGTCATATAGATGATAGTACAGCCAAAAACTATGAAGACCATTTCAAACAAATTAGAAATAATAAGAGCATTAGCTAATTTTAGAGTCTTATAGTCATTTTCACTCAAATTATATTCAGTTGAACAAGGATTATGATCAATTAGTTCATTGACATATATTTGGTGATCATTTGAACCTGAATCTGTTTTAGTTTGAGAATCTAGAACAATAGATTTAACTTTGTTGATCTATTTCATTTGTATTGCTTCTGGCTTTATGGATGTAATTATTATTATTGGTTTGAATCTAAAAGTTGAAGCTGAATTTGAACCCCATTTTGATTTAAACATATTAGATAATAGATATTAGTTGTACGAATTAAAGAAAGATACTTTGATTTATTTTTGAATAATTGGTCATTTTAAGAAAATGAGAGAGTTTAAGTTAAATGAAAAAATTGAATAATATGTATTAAAGATTATATAATATAAATTAATTGTAATGCTATAAGTATTAATATCATTAAGAGAGAAGAAGGAGAGCTTAAAGAAATAAAAGATTGCTTTAGAGGAAGAGTTGAACTAATTGTTAAACTATTTAGAATAGGGTTCAAAGAAACTCAGTGATGCTTATAATGTAAAATGCTAGAGCACAGAATTTGAGATAAAGAAGAAAGAAATACAAAAGCAAATGGAAAAGGAGAGTTTAGAAATAGTAAAGAATTAGCAATATTGCATTGATTAATAACGAATCTATAAAGAGAGAGCTGATTGGATAGATAAATTTAATGATAAATTAAAGGAAGACTTTAAGTCATGTTAAAAAAAAGAGTGAGTGAATATATTTATGTATCTTAAGGGAAACAATATAGATTAGAAGCACAGTGGCAAAAGGAATAAAAAGGTTATTTCTATTGTAATTATGTACAATTTTTTTTGACAAAGAAAACTAGAGACTCTTGTGGGGATTACACAAGATCAAATTACTGAATGATGTTTAATAAAATATGTCAAGCTAAGATGAGGACCACTTGGCTACTTCTTTGGGTTATTTAGGATTACTATTGCAGTAAATAGCAAAGATTAAGGGGTTAACTTTGAAATATGAGTTTAAATTTAAGGGAAGCAAGAGTTATATCTAATCATAAAATGAGTACATATAATTTAATATACTAGTACTTTGTATTTATTTAGTTAAAGACCCTCTAATTTAAAAATATTGAAATAAAGTTATGGGTTATTAATTCAAAATCTGTATGTAATAATGGAGGAGTTGAGTGTATAAAAATAATGGAGAATCTAATCATTACCAGCCATCATAGGTAAAATAGGAGAGATGTTATGGGTGGATGCTTGATAATTATGATAGTTTTGTAATTTAATAGATATATTATTAAATGCGTTACTATGAAATCATACAAATTTTAAATAATCTTCTCCATTTTGATAATAGGTTTGAAATGGCATAATTCATCTACCATCCATTCAACGCTATTTCTAATCATCATTCTCCTTTCTCCTCTCATCATA